CTCCCCCAGCCTGAGAAGTGGCAGGTGCGGCCTGAGCCAAAACCACCTGAGCAAGGCCAGTGCAGGCTGCCAATATCTGGGCCAAAGTCTCCTGAATGCCTACAATCTCAATAGGCACAGCTGGTGCTTGAGCTGATCCTGTCGGCTCAACAACACCTGGAATCTGCTCTTGTACTGGAATAACTAGTGGTACTACAGGTGCTATTCCAACTGTGGTACGAGCTGCACCTCGACCTCTACCTCGGCCCCGGCCTCTACCACGGCCCTGGCCTCTCGCGGCCCTAACTGGTGGCTGACCATCCAGTCCGGTAGTACGTGTCCTCACCATCTATGAGAGAATAGAATAGTAGAAATTTAGATTCCAGAATCAACAAATTCGCACGACAGAATACAAGAAAGGAAAATTTTCCTAAGGGTTCTGCAGCCTCTCGAACATAAGTACAGACGTCTCCGTACCGATCATCAAGACTCTACTAAACCTGCTCATAACTCGTGAGACTATGTAACCTAGGCTCTGATACCAACTTGTCACGGCTAAAAATCTCACCCGTCGTGATGGCGCCTATCTCAATACTAGGCAAGCCAAAAATCTGAATAAACCACAATTTCTCTCAAGATTGAAAATATAATATTTAAATACAATACAAACACTTCCCAAAATCTGGTGTCACCGAGTACATGAGTATCTAATATGAATACAAGTCTGGAAAATAATCATACTATAATAGTCTGAGACCAAATACGGTAAACAAAGAGATAGAGAAGGAGAGACAAGGTCTGCGGAACACGGCAGCTACCTCAAAATCTCCTAAAAATCAACGGCATGAAAGGATCAACACCCGCTATGTCCGGGAACACTTGGATCTGCATACGAAGTACAGGGTGTAGTATAAGTACAACCAACTCAGCAAGTAACAATAATAAATAAGGAACTAAAGATAGTAACGAGCTACACAGTTATGGTTCATTTCGAGTAATTCCAGCAAAGAATAGACATGCTATCAAATCTGGCAGATTAATGTCAAATCAATTTTTATACAGTTTCTGTTCATGTAATCCGTATATCATCAATCTTTCAGAGATTTCACAACAATGACAAATAGCAACTAAGTGCAATAACAAATGGAAATCAAGTATAACCTCTTAGGACAACAATCACTCACTGGGCTCCCATCCATCATCACTCCCTGGGCTCCCAGCCCTCATCACTCTCTCAATGGGTACCCGCGCTCACTGGGGTTGTACAGACTCCGGAGGGGCTCCTACAGCCCAAGCGCTATAATCTGCACGGACAACTCACATGTTGTATGGACAACTCACGTGCCATAATATAAATATCTGGATCCGCACGGCCAACTCATGTGCTATAGTATAATATAAGGATCCGCACGGCCAACTCACTCGCTATAGTATAATATAAGGATCTGCACGGCCAACTCACGTGCTGCACGGACAACTCACGTGCTATAGTATCAATATCTCACAATCAAGCCCTCGGCCTCACTCAGTCATAAATCTCTCCAGTCTCTCAGGCTCTCAATAATCATGAAATCAGCCCAAACAACAATGATATAATGTATCAATAATAATAACAGAGACTGAGATAAAATGTGCAAGTAAAAACTGAGACTGAGTACATATAGCATTTAGCAGGCAATTCAACAAGTACGTGACCTTTGTGGGTCCCAACAGTACTATCACATAGCCTAAGCATAATTTCTAACATGATTTACAGTCAAATTTTATCAACACATAGAGAGCATATAGCTAACAACAAATTATTTAACTTTACAGTTTCCCGGGATGGACCAAGTCACAATCGCCTCGGTGCACGCCAACACGCCCGTCACCTAGCATGTGCGTCACCTCCAAAATAATCACATGATACCAAAATCCGGGGTTTAATACCCTCAGGGCCAGATTTAAAACTATTTCTTACTTCAATCCGTGAAATTCTTATTCTGCAATGTCCTTTCCTCGTGAATTGGTCTCCAAACGCCTCGAATCTGGTCATAAATAATTCGTTTTAGTCAATAAAATTCATTGGAATTAATTCCATAAGGAAATAATGATTTTCTATAAAAATCCAAAAATTAGCTCAAAAATTGCCCCGTGGGTCCCACATCTCGAAACGTTGACAAAAGTTACAAAATCCGGAATCCCATTCAACCACGAGTCTAACCATACCAATTTTACCAAAATTCGACCCCAACTCGACCCTCAAATCTTCAATATAAACCAAGAGAGTTTTCAAATTTTCCCAGCTCAATTCACCAATTAAATGATAAAAACAACCATGGATTCGGGTAATTTAACCAATATTGAGTTAAGAACACTTATCCCGTTGTTTCCTCTCAAAATCACCCAAATATCGCCTCAATCCGAGCTCCAAATCATCAAAAACTAAAAATGGGATCAGAACTTAAACTCATTGCCCAGGTTTTTCTTATTCGCGAACGCGGTCAGTGCCTCGCGTTCGCGAAGCACAAAATAGCTCCCGTCTAAATTCCTCCTCCGCAAACGCGACATCACCCTCGCGTTCACGAAGCACAAAATGCCTCTGCCTCAATGCCTTCTACGCGAACGCGTTCAACCCATCGCGAACGCGATGCTTCATCCCCCCTCACTAAGCGAACACGACACCCCCATACGCGAACGCGTAGACCAATTGCCTGGGGTCCTCAGCTGCTTCCTCTCCTCTTCGCGAACGCGTAACACGTCTCGCGTTCACTATGCACACCCAATCCACTCTTCGCGAACGCGTTCTTCTCTTCGCATCCAGCCTCTCAGTTCCTCTTCGCAAACGCGAGGCTCCATTCGCGAACGCGATGAAGGAAACCAGATGGTGCATCAGAAAAATTCCAGCAGAGTTCCAAGTCCAAAATCCAACCCGTTAACCATCCAAAACTCACCCGAGCCCCTCTAGACCTCGACCAAATATACCAATAAGTCCTAAAACATCATACGGACTTAGTCGAACCCTCAAATCACCTCAAACAACGCTAAACCATGAATTACATCCCAATTCAAGCCTAATGAACTTTGAAATTTCTAATTTCTACAAATGACTCCGGAACCTATCAAATCATGTCCGATTGACCTATATTTTGCACACAAGTCATAAATAACATAACAGTGGTATTCTAATTTTTAGAATCGGATTCCGACTCCGATATCAAAAAGTCAACCCCCCGGTCAAACTTCTCAAAAATTAAACTTTCGGTATTTCAAGCCTTATTACCCTACGGACTTCCAAATAATATTCCAAACATGCTCCTAAGCCCAAAATTACTATACGGAGATTGGAATCATTAAAATTCAAATTCGAGGTCGTTTACACATAAGTCCATATCCGGTCCACTTTTCTAACTTAAAATTTCAATTATGAGATTAAGTGTCTCATTTCACTCCGAGTTCCTTCCGGACCCGAACCAACTAACCCGATAAGTCATAAATTAATTGCAAGACATAAATTGAGCAATAAATGGGGAAACGTGGTTATAATATTCAAAACGACCGGCCTAGTCGTTACATAAACCCAGGAAATGTGCCATTCCAGACGTGCTTTGCCAGTCCACCAGATATCCTGTATAATCAGCGTCAGCATACCCAATAAGATCATAGTTGTCACCTGAGGGGTAGAAGAGAATCAGGTCTTGCAGTCCTTTGAGATAACTCAATATTCTCTTGGCAGCCTTCAGATGAGATTCATTTGGATTGGATTGAAACCTTGCACAAAGGCCCATGTTGAACATAATATCTGGTCTGCTTGTAGTGAGATACAAGAGTGACCCTATGATCCCTCTATATATGGTCTGATTTACAGGAGAACCAGGTTCATCCATGTCTAGACGAGTAGCTGTGGGAATAGGAGTGTCAATAAGTTTTGATGTTTCCATGTCAAACCTTTTTAGCAGCTCCTTGATGTACTTCTGCTGACTTATCATTGTTCCCTTTTGAGATTGCTTCACTTGAAGTCCCAGGAAGAAATTTAATTCTCCTATCATACTTATCTCAAACTCACTCCCCATGATTTTTGCAAACTCTTCACAAAGAGAGTCAGTTGTGGCTCCAAAAATGATATCATCAACATATACCTGAACAATGAGTAGGTTCCTCCCTCGTTTCTTTAGAAAAAGAGTGTTGTCAATTTTCTCTCTTGTAAAGCCATTTTCTAGAAGAAATTTTGATAACCTTTCGTACCAAGCCCGGGGAGCCTGCTTTAGCCCATACAATGCCCTGTCCAGCTTGAACACACATAGGATGCTCGTGACACTCAAATCCAGGAGGCTACTTGACATAAACTTCTTCTTTCAGGTAGCCATTTAGAAATGCACTTTTGACATCCATTTGAAACATTGTGAACTCCATATGAGATGCAAAGGCAATGAGAATTCTAATAGCTTTCATTCGAGCAACTGGAGCAAATGTTTCATCATAATCAATCCATTCTTTCTCATTATAGCCTTGAACTTCAAGCCTTGCCTTGCTTCTTGTTGTATTTCCAAACTCGTCAAGTTTGTTCCTGAATACCTACCTGGTCTCTATGATAGTTCGATCTGCGGGTCGAGGAACCAGGTGTCATACCTTGTTTCTTTCAAATTGATGAAGCTCCTCTTGCACGGTCGTGATCTAGTCTGCATCCTTCAATGCTTCCTTGATGTTTTTGGGCTCTATTTGGGAAAGAAAGGCTGAAAAGGCAAATGAATTTCTGGCTTTTAATCTGGTTTGAACACCTGAGTCAAGAGGGGTGATTATGTTGTCAAGAGGATGTGAGCTTTTATGCTTTCAATTTGGTACCTGAATCTCATTTGTAGAGGACCCAAGTATATATGACTGAGGTTCTTGGCCGCTTCTTACTTCAGCAAGTGGAGTACCTTGGACTGCATCAATAACTCTATTTTCAGCTTCAGTTGTTGTGATCGTGGGACCAGGTTCATCTCCATGGAGATGTATTTGCATCATCTTCACTATATTCCTTGACATGACTTATCATGTCTGCCTTTCTATTTGCCATGTCAATAACTTCACCTGGAACATATAAAGGTTCTCCATCTTGGTCAACACATATGTCCTTCTCACAGGAGATGTGAGATTCATCAAAGATTACATGTATACTCTCTTCAACACATTGAGTCCTTTTTTTGTATACTTTGTAAGATTTGCTTTGGGATGAGTATCCCAGAAAGATTCCTTCATCACTTTTGGCATCGAATTTTCCAAGAGCTTCCTTTCTATTATTGAGGATAAAAAATTTACACCCAAAAGTCCTTAGATGTGTCAGCTTGGGCTTCCTTCCATTCAGCAGTTCATATGGAGTCTTGTTCAGAAGGGACCTGATCATGCACTTGTTCACCAAGTAGCAAGCAGTATTGACAGCTTCAGCCTAGAAATTCTTTGTGATCCCACTGTCAATCAACATTGTCCTTGCCATGTCTTCAAGAGTTCTATTCTTCCTCTCCACAACACCATTTTGTTGAGGTGTTCTTGGAGCTGAAAAATTGTGAGTGATACCATTTTCAGTACAGAACTCATCAAATTTGGCATTGTCGAACTCTGTCTCATGATTAGACCTGATGCAAGTTACATTATTACCCATCTTCACTTGAATCCTTTTGACGAATGCAACAAACACTTCAAAGGTTTCATCCTTGGTTCTGAGAAACAGAGTCCAGGTGAATCTGGAGTAATCGTCAACTATAACAAAGATATATTTCTTTCCTCCCCTGCTTGCCACCCTCGTGGGTCCACATATATCAATGTGAAGAAGATCAAGTGACCTTGAGGTACTGACTTCCTTTTTGGTCTTGAATGAGGATCTGACTTGCTTGCCTATTACACATGCATCACACACTTTGATATACTTGAAACTTGACTTGGGCAGACCACGAACCAGGTCCTTCCTGACCAATTTGTTCAGCAACGTGAAGCTTGCATGACCCAACCCCCTATGCCATAATTCAGCATCATCATCAACAACACTTACACAGCTAAGATCACCATTATGCAGAGACTCAAAATCAACAACATAGATATTTTTGTATCTTTTTGCTACTAGCACCACCTCACCGGTCACTAGGTTTGTGACTGTACATATTTTTGACACAAATTCCACCTTGTTTCCCTTGTCACATATTTGGTAAACACTTAGCAAGTTGTACTTCAACCCGTTCACGTAGTACACATTTTCGATTGAGTGTGAGAGAGACTTCCCAATCCTTCCAAATCCCAGAATGTATCATTTCTTGCCATTTTCAAAGGATACACTCCCTCCTTGCAGGGCTTTAAGTGAAAGGAAATCATTTGTACTTCCAGTCATATGCTTTGAGCAGCCTCTATCTATGTACCATTGTAGGCTGCTTCCTTTCACTGTTCCCTGCACAAGAAAATCAGGAGTTAGACTTAGAAACCCAAACGAGTTTGGGTCCCTTGTAATAAGGAAAAGGGTGAATGAGGGATCTTCTGGTCCAAGCAGGCATCATGCATTTTTTATATGAGGGACCGGGTTCTCTACCAGTAGTTACTTTTTCAGCAAAAACTTTAATTTTCTGTTGTGACTGACATCTGGCCTTGCAGTTTTCTTTAAAGTGCCAGTGTTGCCACAGTGAGTGCAAAGCCAATTATCAGGTACAGTAACGTACTTGCTATGAGGATTGTAGGGAATATTTTCCCTTTGGAACCCAATACCCTGCATGTTTCCCCCATTGTTGGTGTACATGGCAGTGATAGCATGAGAGGGCTAGGTCCACTTGAGTGATTTTTCAAGGTCACTCTTCACTCCCTAGTTCTTCATGAAGTTGTTTGTTTTTCTCAAGCTCAGCACACAAACTGGACTTCACGGAATTTAACTCACTTTCAAGCTCAATGTATGCTTCACTTGCAACTTCCTTTCCCTTTTGATAATTTTCAGGCCTACTCTCCATTTTAAGTTCCCCAATTGTTTCCTTCAAGTCCACTACCACCACTAATAGGTCATCTCTCTCATGCTCAATGTTAGCAACCCTCTCAGTTAAGACTTCTTTTTCTTTTCTCACACACTCAATGGTCTCTTTTAGGTCTACCACAACGACCGTTAGATCATCTATTTCATGTTCTATATTTGCAATTTTTTCATCTAAGGCATCCTTCTCTTTCTTCAAGTTCTCAATTATTTCCTTTAAATCAACAACAACGATTACTAAGTCATCTCTGGTTTGTTCTGCTTCTCCTAACTCCACAGTTAAAGCATCTTTATCATTTATAAGACTGTGATAAGCATCAATTAACACATTTCCAAAGACCTGAGTTTTTTAGGAGAATAAGATTTCAGATTTCTCTGAACAACCAAAAAATTTACCTCATCATCGTCGCCATCTTCATCATCATCAGACTGAGCCATAAAGGCTCAGATTGAGTTATACTCAGTTGCTTCACTTTCCACTTCCATCATTGAACTATCACCATGATTATTTTCTTCTTCAGATTCGCTGGAGGAGTCTTCCCATGCAGCAAGAGCTTGCTTTACAACATTGTCAATGACATTCTTTTTCTTGAAGCGTTTATCAGGAATCGGGTTCCTCTTGGCTGCTTTGTCAAAGTTGTTTTTGTACTGATCTTGCTTTAGGAGAGGGCACTCCTTGATGAAGTGTCCTGGCTTGCCATATTTATGACAGAGGTCATAATTTTTTGGCTTGCTAGAACTTCCCCTTTTTTGAATGCCTCAATTCCTGCGAACCATCTTCTGAATTCTTCTTGTCAAGTAAGCCATATCGCCATCCCCACCACTTGAATCATTGTTGTCTGTCTTGAGGACCAGGTTCTTCTCCCTTTTGGGTTCTCTTCTTTCATTGTCCTTCTTCTTCTTCTTCTTCTTCTTCTTCATTTCATATGTTTTCAGATTGCCAACAAGTTCATCTATGGTCAGTGTCTGCAAGTCTTTCGCCTCTGTAATGGCGTTCACTTTGCTTTCCCAAGAACTGGGTAGTACACTAAGGATTTTCCTAACAAGCTTGTTTCTTGGAATAGTTTCACCAAGAGAGTGGAGCTCATTAATGATGGAGGTAAAGCGAGTACGCATATCTTGGATGGATTCATCATCTTTCATCCTGAAGAGCTCATATTCAGTTGTGAGCATGTCGATCTTGGATTGCTTAACCTGTGTTGTTCCTTCGTGATCTGTCTGAAGAGCCTCCCAAATTTCTTTTGCTGATTGGCATGCCGATATCCTGTAATATTCATCAAGACCAATGCCACAAACAAGAATTTTCTTTGCACGAAAGTTCTTTTCTATGACCTTTCGATCAGCTTCATTGAATTCCTTCCTCGTCTTGGGAATGGCTACAGCTGGGTTGCCAAGATTCTTGGTGGGAACAAAGGGTCCGTCACAGATAACATCCCATAGCTTTGAAGTTTTAGCCATGATGAAGTCATGCATCCTAGTCTTTCACCATCCATAGTATTGGCCATTGAACCTTGGTGGCCTGTAGGTAGACTGACCTTCTTCAAAGTTTAGTGGATCAGCCATGAGGATCCTTTCTAGGTATTAGCCTGATAGAAAGAACCTGCTCTGATACCAATTGATAGAATATAAGGGTGTACCAAACTATATAGAGAACCAGGTTCTCTATAAGTTCCCACAGAAACCACGCACATTGCAGTAAGTAAATAACAGGAGGAATTTTACGTGGAAAATTCCCAGCTCAACGAGATTAAAAACCACAACCTACCCTTGTAGGATTTCAACTTCACTACTGAGAAACTTTCAGATTCCAACCTATGTAACCTAGGAATTAACCTCTTAATCTTTCACTAACTTGTAACACTCTATTACAAGCCACTTTGTAATAACTCTATTACAAAATCTTTACAACTCAACTAACTCTAGCCAAGACACAAACACAAGGGTTTATGATTTAGAAAGGGTTTCCTACGCAATGCTCCTAAACAAGCTAAGTAGGAATTACAATTGAGAACTTTAACAAAGTTACAACTCAACTAAGGACATACAATCACTTGATATGGGAACTGGTCCGTAGCCGTGTTGTTCTTTGTT